ATATATTATTGAATTTTAAGTTCTAGGTGAAAATTATATGTTTATATTTAATATGATTAATCATGTAAAATAGGGCCAGATAAGATTGCGGGCCAACACAAATCACTATAAAGACTGGAGGGCCTCAGAAACAAATACATTCGTTCGTAGTTCTTTTGAAGAAATATAAAGATACGGTTATAATGTTAAATTAAGTTTTATTAAATGTCATTTATTTAGTATGCCATGAAAATAAACTAATGTAATTTTACTAAAATACACCAAAAGAAAATTTGCATAATTGTGGTAGATTAGAAACATGGCCCTGGATAGCCCTAATGTAAAACATAAAAATATGTTCCTCTGACAATACAAACTTCTACATTTAATATATACGTACTTTGAGAGTGCAATGCTTTTAAACAAAGCCAAAATTTTAAAGCACTCTAATAAGTCGCACTGGAAACTGTTAGTTCTGGACTCCAAAACGAGTCTAAACTCAACTCTTACGAAATGCACTATTTTTATTTGTGCTTCTTATAATCACAATTGTTAAGTAAACGTTGTTGGTTTCTAAACCCAACAGTATTTCCTAACAATGTGGAAATACAGACACCATAAATGTGGTGTGCATATTTAAAATGCATAAAAGTATTTCTTAACTGTTAAACTGTTGTTAACTAAATGATTTCAGACACCTCAGTTTTACCCTATTCCTTCTCAAAACCTTGTAAGGAGTTATTCAATGTATATACTAAAAGTAAATCAATCAATCAATCAGATTTTCAAATTCTAGTACCTATATATAAGAAAGGTTCTGCGTCCACTGATATCAAAAAGGATTACAATTTCATAAACTCACGGACTTCTTCAAAATAATTATCCAATCTAAGTTTGTACGTCCCAATTAAACATTTAATCGGATTGCTATTAATAAAAGAATAGTAACCTCTTAACAAAGCTCAATTAAAATTAAGAGATTAAGATATTATACTACATTGAATACAATGAGTGGTAAGTTATTTGAATGCATATCCAAATTGTTGAAACCTACAGTGCTCACTCGCAAATGTAAACACATTAAGCATCATTCACTTCTTAGACTAATAAGAAGGTTATATTATGACCTTATATTATATATAAAATATAATTTTATTTGTGTTTATTGTAAATAGTAAACATCACTAAAATTCGTATGAGACTTTAGATATATGTTAATAATAATCTTGTTAATAATAATCTTAACACAGTGAACTCTAATTTAAACAACTTTCAACATGTCTTAGATATCATTTCGTAAGTTATATTAAAGAAGTTATATTAAAGTTATATTATATTAATATTTAACAATAAGAATCAGAATAAACTAGTAATGTAACATAAATCCATATAAATTAATACATTAATGCAGAAGGAATATATATATAACTTGTCACAATGAATTGGTAAAGGGAGCTAAAATTATTGTTCTTTAGAATATTATACGTCAGTAGTGGATACTAAAGCCATTATTTTTCCGCATCGATTCCCCATAATATAGTAAACACATATCCGTAGAAATAAAATATAGATCTTTGGTGAATCATACTCCTTTTTAACATTATACAAATAATAGCTGTCAAAATCATAATGGTACTACATTGATGTCCTTTGAAATAGTTAACACATACCTATGGAACATCGATAATAATGTATGTCGAATAAGATCTTACAATTTAATTTTTTGAATTGTGCTGACTTCTAATATAAGTAACAGAGTCCATCTATTTTTAGGAAATATTTAATATTCTAAAAGGATCAGAATTTTTGTTAAATTATTTCGATTTGAACCTTCATTATATTGATGACCAATTGCATTAAGTTTTATATATGGTATATGCAGAATAATTCATATTACTAATTTTAATAACATTAGAATTTTTTTTTATATTTATTTTATATAATATATTTAGACGAAATTAGACTACTTGAGCGATTTGGACTTACAATGAAGCAAAGTATAATGATTTGAATAGGTTTTATGCAGTACGCTAACATAAATGGCACTGTCAGAATACAATTAGATGTGCCCAGAATAACAAAGTTTTTGAGTGATATTTATGGTACTTGCAGACCTATGTTTTTGTAGAAAGAAATTTAGTCAACAAAAAGAAAGAAATAAATTATCGCTTTGAAAACTACCATAAGGAAAATTTTTATTTTAAAGAAAACTATGAATTCTTCAAGACCCGAGGACAGGAACGAGTCACTTCGCAACAATTCACCCAAAGTCTACAGAAGATCAAGAAGTCTCTAATTTAATTAGTGACGGGATCAATAATTTATATCTAAGAACATTTTTCTGAGCCAATATCAAAGTTAAGCAAATATATAAAATCATCAATTTATATCTCAAGATCATTTGCTAGTCGCAGTTCAAAAATGTGCAAGCACATGAAATGTGGCATCAAGAACTCAGGTTTTGGTGACTATCTTTAAGGCAAGATTAATAACAAGTGTGCATATAGTATGTAACAAAATGTCTCTCTATCTTTCGAAGAGAAATAATATTCTTTCAGTTCAGAGAATTATACCTGGTTTATATGTTTTCAAAGACTGAATTGTCTAATTAAAAAACTCGCCATTAACTTTAAGTGTTTTAAGTTATTAAGATATATTTTATTGTTCACGGAAAAATAAATATTATTTCAAAAACAAATATTGAGTTCAAGAACGAATAAGCACTGCGGGATCAAGAACTCAAGAACAAGATCAAAACATGCATATAGAATGTGACAAAAATATTCATCATCCTTCGCATAAGAGAATGTGATTCTTTCAACTCAGAGAGTTCTGCCTTTACATACCTATTTTTAAATGAGTGACTAGATAAATTCTCAGTTGACCCGCTAAGGAGCTGGCTATTAATTGCAGATCTCTCCTGCTTTGTAAGCAAAAAATTCCTGCTATTATGTACTAATGGTAAGTATCATTATGCTTTATCAAGTACATATAATTGAGAGAAGAAGAGTATGAAATGAATCAGTACTCTTTCTTTCTATTTATATCTCATATATCTAAATTTTTGCTAGAGTGATTGAGTCATTTATTGATCAAAACTTAAAGGAGAATCACTACGTTATACCTATATAGATTTTAGTTAAATTGAATTATTTGTAACTGGAAACTAATTTCAATTATATTAATAAGAGCATCACAGGTATATTCCTCAGAATTCTTTAAAACCTAATGTATTTTTGTAATTTTTTAGTCACGCTATATATTTTAATAGAAATAGTTTTCATATTAGCTTATTTTAAATCAACATATCTTCACCAAAACGTGGAGCATAAATTCGTAGTTCAGGACTGCACTGTCAAGCATGCTTTAATGAAATCTGAGATATATTTTAATTATAAGAGGAATAGCGCCGTGATTCATAAACCCTTAAGAAGCTTTTGCCATAAGAAATCAGTGCTAAAAGAATTCCAAAAATTGTTATTCATACTATTATATTTTGAAAGAGATCCATTAACTGGTATTTATTCTCTGATTCAGAATAGGCTATAATTTGTTAGTGTTTTTGGTTCAACAATAAAATTTCTATATATGATTTTTATTATAAAAACAAAGAAGCTTTTGCCTTAAGAAATCAATGCAAAAAGAATTCCAGAACTTTTGATTCATACTATTGTATATTAAAAGAGATCTATTAACTGGCATTTCTTGTCTGATTCAGAACAAGCTATAATTTGTTAGTGTTTTTGGTTCAACAATGAAATTCCTATCACTATTTATTTAGATTTTTATTATAAATACAATTAAATATTTCATGATGATTATAATGATTTAATACTATATCCTCAGCAAATTCTAACTGTATTTTTTAAATAGTCTTATTTGCTTCATATATGAGTAATGGTAGTTCATAATAATACACACTATAAGCGAGAGACATGTAGTCTGCATTTTATTTGGTGAGGATAAAAATAAATAAATGTATTATGTTTATAAAAATGGTTAAAAGCATCAACTTCAATACTTTATATCGTATACTTGAGACGAGTGTGGAATGTGGTAAAATGACAAATAATCTGTAATTGCGAGAAGCAGATTTGTATCTCCTGTTCAGCCAACCAACTATCGTATCGTATAATTATAACAAACAAAGAACAGACAACAGCGTTGCTATTATAAAAGGAGGTGTGATGAAACTTGTGATGAAAACTTTTTTAAAAATAATGACTAATTTATTTATATCATTTAGAAATCAGATTTCCCAAACCTTTATTTGACTTTCGGATATTAAAACTAAAGCATATATGATCTGCTTAACAAAATTTTATAAATATTTCTAAAATATTTTAAAGATTTTTGTAATCATGAAATCTTGAATTCAGTGTTAAGTATCAATATTTCATTATAAATTCATAGTATGTTCATACTATCGTACTTAACTTCACAAATATATAGTAATATGTGGTATTTTTCTCACAAAATTCGTCTAAATAAATGTTAAAAAAGTTTGGTGAGTATGTGTAGACTTAGTATTATTTCCAATATATACTTTAAGAATTAAAATTTTTATTTAAAAATTGATTTCGATATAAATTGCTTCATTAAAATTTATTTCTTAGCTCTTATGATAATATACTCATATTATTCGAATTGAAAGAATTCAAAATTAAATTGCAATTATTTTCAAGTATGTTTTTAGCATTTAAATTGAAATAAACTCTTTGAATAATATTTTATTTTTAAAAATAAAGTATAAGTATCTAATAATTCTAGAGCAGCAAATCTTATAGTGACTTATGCTGACCTGAAACATTTTTCTTTCTCTTCTAAATATAAATAATAAAAAATAATGTTTTTTGCTAATCGTTTATTCGTTATCGCTGAAGTCGAAACTTAAATGGAACAAAATATTTTTATACGCAAAAAATATGCCAGAAGTGCAAAACGGGCACATCATCCCTTGTAAGAGATACTCGACCCGTAATGAAATAAATATGAAAGTGATTTTTATATTGCGTATTTACCTTTTTTTTTATAAAACTTTGCTTTCAAAGGCGACCGAAACGGTTGACTAGGCAAGCGATGGTACGCAATTCGTTGTCTGACAAACTTCAGTAAGCGAAGCGTATGAAGCGTTAGCGTAAGCCAAACGATGCGCTGCGATGCGTAGTAGCGATGCTGCAGATACAAAATTACAAACGCAACTAAAAATTGAATTCGTTCCAGACACGAACTTAGTTTTTACAGCTTACAGCTTACAGCTTATAGCAAAACACACACACCAACTCACACGCGTTTCTTCTACGGAATAAAAATTCTTATCTCGAAAATACAAGAAAAAAATATCTTTTTTCAGTTATTTAAGAAAGTATATTTCATATGAGAAAGTTCGCAATATAAAAATTAATTTTTATAATTCTTTTTAATTAATTTGAAATTTATTTTATATTTATTTTTGTTGTAGATATTTTAATATATTTTCAATTTCCGTAGCAGTCACTCTATTACGGATACAGATACACTGATTTATTATGCGCTTGCCAGATACACTCTCGACTGAGCTTACACCAACGCACACCAGTTACACACGTCCGCACTCAACTTTAACGATGGATACTGAACAGAAATTATCCTTCTATGATTTTTTTCACTTCATATGAAATTTGCAAATTTGCGCTTTTATCTGAAATCTTAACTGTACTCGTCGCACGCTGCAGATGAACTGAATTCGAATTATTGCGAATCTTCAAGAATAGCAAAAGTATTCGCTCGTTTTTATTGCCGGAGCAGGCAGACATATGATAAGCTCATTTTTTCTAAACACTCAGTTATGTACTGTGCGCAGCATAAAAGTAAAATTTCCCTAAAAAATCCGAAGTATCTACAAAAAAGCCCACAGGATATTACTCACAGGACACAAAGGCAGTCAGAGATGCGTTGTTATGCGTTATGCTGCGTTATGTTTGTGTTATACGTTGAATGAGGGCTCTTTGCCCGTTCTCTGCACTCCCAAACTTATGCTCCTTAAATGTCCTTGTTTGTTTGCATGAGTTTGACAAATTGTTGCGCATGTTCCAAAAATAGCATTTTGACATTTTATTTTTATCCTTTTATGAAGGATAATAAAATTGAGTCATGCCAAAAATACACACCGGTGCAAAGTGCTCAACATTTGTTCTTTAACTCACTCTTTAAACTCAATTGCTTTAGGAGTGCATTACTCATTGAGTGCTTTTGACTTTATTGCAATGAGTTTATAAAATATAAACACTACATTAGAACCCGCATAGCCGATGTAGCTTATCAGTAGCTTTGTTTTATTTATATTGCTCTGTAAAATTGCAATACTTTAATGGCAAGCTTTGTTAATGTGTTTTTCTTAGAATGCGTCATTCAATATGTTTAAGTTCATTGATTTGAAGATGTTTATATAATGTCTATGAGGTGTAAATTACATTTTTAGGAATTGATAGAAAAATAAAACCATATTCGTACAATTCTGAAAACCACTAACCATTAATAGTCAATACAGAACACAACAGCTGATAATTCCATAAAATAACTAATACATCAATATTTTTTTAGCAAAATTAAATTAGTCTCCTTTCATTAAATTAGACTCCTTAAAGAGTAACAAAAATCATTTCAGCACTTCTCTAACATTTCAAAAATGACTGTTTTATCGAAGCCAAATCTCCCTGGACCATTTCATTGCGGTCTGTGTACAGTTATTTATGCCAAACAGCGTCTATCGAAACATTTATCGGCACATTATCTTGATATGTTGAGATAACATATTTTGATATGTTAAGAACATTGGTTATGTCACATCATGTCACGTCTGTCGATTTAGTTTCACCATATTTAGAGTCTATAGTACTTATTTTCCCATTTTGGCAGTTCTTCTTATCAAATATTCTCAATACAGATAACCAATGTTAGCAACATTTGGTTACAGCATATTCTTTTGACACCACCATATGGAGAGTATTACATCATAAAATATACTCAACTTTTACGATATTTAGATAGTTTCAAAAGATTAAACCACATACCTATCCAGGTATGTTTTTGTTGCCATTATGACTTTCCTACTTATTTGCTTATAAGTCAGTATTTTACAAATGCAATGGAATGGAATATATTATTACCATTAATTTGGCTGATATTTTTTATATAAGCTTCTCTAATAAAACAGAAAGACCCATATTTCGGGAAAGAGTTTCAAGCTATTTTGTAGAATATAACCCATAGGGTTATGAGAAGATACATTCTAAAATAATTTTTAGGTGGACATAACTCAAACGACAGGTTTTGATCTGTAAACGACAAAGTTTACACAGTTAACTGTGTTTTAAAGATATATTATATTATTATATTACATTATTATTATATTATATTTTTATTTTAGTTATGACGATAGAAACTACCATATATTGATTAATATAAACTATTGTATTTATGTATTTTGAAGCCACCTTATGAATAGTTTGAGTAAATGTGATTATTTATATATAAGTACTAGTATTAAAAAATTAATATAAAAACATTTTATAAAAAATACTTGAATGTGGACTACTATTAAAACATTTCCCGCCGCCAATGCTCAAGCAGAATCTTATTTGAATATCAAAATGTTTAAAGCTTTGATCAGCATAAATAATATTTAAAGCTTACAATAAGTATGATATATATTCATTAATATTCATATATTCATTCCAGTGTCAGTGCACTTAAGCACTTTTACTCTTTCTTAACTCGAGATATTTTCAAAACCCCTCTTTACCCCTCTTGACCAGATTATTGTTTATCACTTCATCAGACTAAGCAATAATTGACCTCAGATCAATTGAGATTTGATAATGTTTCTAAAAACAAAAAAAAAGAATTCAGTTGACTTCAGCGCTGACTTCAGCGTTGTCACTATCGTAATGATTTGGACAACATTTAATATATGAATCATCAATAACTATAGCAATCATCGGATTATAGTGAGTAGTTTGTTAAGCCTATCTCTTCTAATTACAGCTTCTAACAAATATTAGATATGTAGTAAAATATATAATGACACAAATAATTCTGATGCAGAAATTACAACTTTTGAACAATTTCGTCATGTAACTCAAACTAATTGAATTAAACTATTCATTAAAATTCTCTTATTAATTATCAATAAAAACATTCAAAGTGTTAAATACATCCTTGGATGGAATAACATATAAATCTTTAATAATTATTCAATTATTTATTGTCTATGTCAAATATTTTCAAAATAATTTGCATATTTTGTGCAACAAAGCCATAAATGACATCCAAATATTGAGATAGTATCCTTACTATAACATTCACATCAAAGCAAGTCAAAATATGCCAATATTTGTTATGCTCGTCCCAAACAAAGGTTAAAGAATTTTGATTACCGCAGTCCACAAAGTGTAAAATGCATAAATGATTTAATCTCCTTTCACAAATATTAGAATCGACTTCAAATCTGATTATTTTACCAAAAATAAATTGACTTTGAAATTATTTTGCATGTAATGTGTCCTTTAATATGCAAATCTATTTGAAAATCAACAAATTATAAAATTACTAAGGACAATAGTGAAAAACCATATATGACTACAGCACGGAAGAGTTTGTTGGTATCGGATTTACATATAAATATTTAAAGCTTCATTTTGTATATTTCTTATTAAATATTAAAAATAATTTCAGCAATAATTTCATAGCAACTCCGAAGGACAAGTAACATCCAGATATTATACGGAAATTTCATATGTGAATATGCAACACATTTCAGCTTATCAACGAACTTGTAGGCGTCAAGCTGCAATCTGCTGAAATCAACGCATATTTCAGTTGCAATGCAGTTGAGCACTGCTCCCATTTATGCTGCAACAATTGCTACTTACTGGCGGCAACAGCAACTTAAGCACACATATCAACAATTATTTGACTACGGTTGTATGCCGCAGAACAGTACTGCCAGTAACCTTTTGTGGCTTTATTGAGGCAGAGTTGTATGTAAAATGTTGTTCTCGACTACGACGCCTTATGAGCTCAATTATTTTGATATGCCATCCCATGTGTTTACTGAGCTTTATTGTTAGCTTCTCCGGCTATTTCACTGCTAGATTGGCATACTTTTACCATTGTTGCGTTCGTTTCGCTCGGTGCAGTTGCAATGGCAAGTGCAACTGCAGTTACAGCTCTGTGGCTTTTGGCTTCGTAGTGATGTTTTGAAATTGTCGAAAATTGGAAATGTGGAAATGTGGAAAATGCCTTCACTGCATGTAAGTGCATTGCAATTTGGCACCAGTGCTCATTGTTCAATTGGACTTTTGTTAAAGTTTAGCTGGATGAAATGGCTAAAATAACTGTGGTAAACGTTGGCTGAAGTGTGGTAATACTAGACTGAAACTTCTTTGGTGGTCCTTTTAACTAAACTGCTGCATTAATTTTAGAACAATTAAATTGCTTATTTCGTTCACGTAATTTGTTGTGGCTTTGACGGTTAGTGGCGCTCACTAAGCAAATGAAGCCTGCACTTAATTACGAGGTTTTGTAATTGATTTAAAATTAGTCCTCTATTAAATTGCTATTGTAAATTTTGTTACTTAACTAAGCTCAGTTAATTGCTAGTTAAACGTCGGAAATGCGAACCAAATAGCTTGTAGCTTTCAGTTATTTTGAACAACGTTTTTATTGTAAAGAAATTGACAGTGGGAAATAAACAGTTGTTCATTAGATTTTTATAAAAGAAAAAAAATAAAATGAATATATAAAACAAATAACTAGAATAAACATCCATAGAGACATATGTAACTGGCATCTCTCAGAAAGGCTATATCAACTGTGGTAGAATAGTCAAATCTATTTTCAGTTTAATATGTGACTTAAATCGGAAGTATTTCTATGAGGTGGCATGGGGTCAAACTAGGCTCATGTTGTAGTATTATCTGTAAGACATGTCTATCGGCGCTAGAAGAAAAGTGCCAAAGCATGTCTTGAGTCTATGTGTCTCCAGAACCAGCCTTAAGCTTTTAGGTTTCCCCTTATGTAAAACACTCGGCAATATATCTAACATTAGCATTTGCCAGTTTATCAATGCTTCCGGCTTATCTAACATGACCATTCTTCTGCCTGCTATTACTAGAAATTGTGCATAAAATTTTTTTAGTTCAAATAGTCTTCTTAGTTAATTAAGGAGGTTTAATTCCTTCACCATTGCACTCAGTAAAATGTCAGCAGATCCTACTTATGCTCCCTCCTCAGCTTATAATAAGCTGAGGAGGGACTATTCGTTAAGTCCATTATGCTGAATTTATACAGATTAATAAATATGTAAACAGAGACAATGTGGGTCTATTTAGCAACCCTGGCTACCGTACAATATTCGTTGACAGAGAGCAAAGAGGACAGTGAAGTGTAGTAAGCTTTCGGGATACGTCGTCGAAGCAATTGATATAAAGTCGTCACGATAGTTGATTTTGAAGTTATCGAAGAAGTTATATTTTTACATTATATTATATAAATTATTATATATATAAATATATATATTCCTTCTTAATATGATTATAACTTAATTAAATAAATACAATACTAACCTTAACTCTAACTCTTTACATATATTTACAATGAAATGTCCTGTATAAAAAAACTAAAAAACTAGAAAACTAGAAAAGTTTTTTGAAAAACAGTTGAAATATTATTTCAATAAT